CAACTCATTTAACACAATTTGTGTTAATGCCACTAAATTTTCTCAGCAGAGTCACAAGTGACTTTCCTAGAGCCTTCCCTTTTCTTTTCCTAAAGGGGAAACCTATTTAAAAGGTCAGTCTTTAGCTCTTACTTACACACTAAATAATTCTGAAACATGAGGTGAAAGTATATTCAAGGCTATGACTGGCAAAACACTTCCCTGTAAATTCTAGCGTAAAATAGAAGGGAGAACTTCATTCTTTAGGGTTCGAGGACAGAAACTGATCATCTCCATCAGATTCCTGAATCTGTTGATGTCTCGAAGAGCACTGAGCAAACAAGCCATGAAGTCCCACCCCAAGCACGAAGAGCCTCCGATTGTCTGACACATCAATGGATTAGTCAACGTGGGGCAACTCACTTCTATAACTCCCTTCTAATTTGTTTTAATGACTCCTAACACAAATCCTCAGGTTTCCTCTAAGTTACGACCATATGGAATCTTCTCTCTGCTCTCAAGTATAAATTCAGGCCTTTACCAAATGATTCCTACTATTTCAATCCCAGTCACCAAAATAAATCCCTTACAAATATCGTACATCTAGTAACGCCACACAAACATGGAAAAAGCCAATTCCGTTGCTTAAAGAAATAGGGTTCTGGAACGCTGCTAATGCTGCACATTTTGTAACAGCAACACTGAGCAGAGTGGGAGACGTGAAAGCAAAAGACCGGATGGAAAGCATGGGAAGACCCCGCCCCAGAAAGCTCGATTCAAACAGTTACTTGGGTCTGTCGCTTGGAATCGGAATCACTGAAACAAAGGCGTATATTACGGGAAACAAGATGTCTAGAGTAAAAGAAACCATTTGCAGCTGCAGAGACCGTATACCATCCTCCCACAGGTCTTACCTATGGTGGAAATAAAGGTGGTATTGAAGGCATCATCCGAAAAACGAAAAAGGACGCAGGTCTTCCCCACTCCCGAGTCCCCGATCAGGAGCAGCTTGAAAAGCAGGTCGTACGTCTTCTTCGCCATTGGGAGGAGCGGCTCAGGCTCTCGCCGCCGGCGGCCCCAAGGGATCGGTCCCTCTCACTACGGCCAACTCCTCGCCCGGGCGTTCTCAGGCCGGAGGACCGGGGAACCGTGGGAAAAAGGAGGGCTCGAGAGGGCGCGGACGACCTAGGAACGACCTCCTCGAGGAAGCCCCGACGGTGGCGGCGTCCGGTGCCTCTGAGGGCGGCGACCGCAGCTCCGCAGCCTCTCCCAGCCGCTCCGCCCGGTTCCGGGGAGTCGGTCGGGACAAAATGGCCTCCCCTCCCCCCTCAGGGCTGCTCGGCCGGGACGCTCCCACGGGCAAGCGAGCAAGCTCAGCCGTCGAGGGAGCGCAGCAGGCGTGAGGACAGTCTGTCTCCCGAGCAGCAGTCCACGCTAGGACGCGGCGACGGCAGCGAAGGCGGACACCGAGCCGACGAGCTCAGCTACATAGCCACAGGAAGCCAAGCCGCCCGGGCCAGAGCCACCTTTTCCCCGTGCCCTCTCACGCCGGCGTGCGCGCTGCCTGAGACGCACGCAAGGACGTACGCCCGCCCTCCCCTCGCGCCCTCGCCCTGCGGTCCTCCTCTGCGCACGCGCACCAGAGGGTGTTGGGGCCCGCGGGGGCGGAGAGTGGCGCTCTAGGTCTCCGAGCCTCTGTCCAAGGCCCCGCGGAGACGAGAGAGGGGTGGGGCGAGAGAGGGCGAGGCCTCGGGCGCGCTCCCTGTGACCGCCTGATAGGACGCGCGGTGTTACGAGCCCGCCCTGCGGGGAGGCGCTGCCTAGTGACTGCGCAGGCGCGGCACGCTGGAGTAGCCCTTTGACACCCCTCGTTTTCCTTCCTGTGGTCGCTTTCGGGGCTGTGCTAAGGATGCTTCGAGCCGCGTTTGACGTGTGTGTCTAGCTGAGGGTTTCGGCGCAGCCACGGGCTTGGGTGGCCGTATGTCCCTGTGTAGCTGTAGCTCGTAAACGCGAGAAAAAGTAGCGCCCTGGGTCATTTAACAGCCTCTTGGCTAAAAGGAGGCGAACCCTGGAGTGCCCTCCTCGAGGCTGTGGTGACAGGGGAAACATTACAGCTTTATCCTGGTTTACTTAAGGAGCAAGAGTTGGCGTTCAAGAGAGCAGGAGTTTGAAATGGGAAAAATTGGCCACGCTGCTTGGGTTGGGATGATGTAATCTGTCTTGGAGGGCGAGGAGAAGAGGGCCGAGAATACCTGGGCGCAGGGAGAACCTCCCCGCTAAGTGGAGGCGTAGGTACTCTGCTCTGCTTAGAGAACCCGGTATAGAACTTGGCCGTCCTTTCGGAATGGGGAGAGCCCGAGAGCAGTGTACAGAGGAAGCGGGGCCCTTCCCTGCCGCCAAAGTCGAACCACCAGTGTCCCAACCCCAGCCCCAAGCTGCCTCTCTCTTGCACTTTCTTTTCATACGCGTACCATCCTTCCTTCCCTCTCTCCCTATCAGTCTTTTGTATACCTCCCCTTTCCAATTCCTTTCTGTGGTTTAAATATTCGTGCTCCTGCCCTACCTTTCTCGGTATGCTTCACTGCTCCAAAGCACACCTAGGATGTGATGGCAGAATAGTTGAACCTGGTGGGCTGGTTCAACCTGAAACGGGAGAATACTCTGAGCCGGGAGAATATCCTGAGACATCTGGAAGGCAAGAAACAGAATGGAGAAAGAAGTAAAAACAGCACTTTTACACCCTACCACCACCACCAAAATGTTTGTGTTTTTAATACGTAATTAAAATTAGTCTTTCAGGCAGTTACGATAATCATATTTCAGTCTCCCAGTCTTTGAAGACTTGTCTTAGGGTCCTCCTTCCCAACCACCCCTAAAGCTTTATTACTGAAGACGCTCGTCTTCTCTGATATATCTTGCTTTTCAGTTTGTTTCTGTGATTGCTCTTGCAACTTAAACTTACCCTCTGTGAATCATTCTTTCTCCAGTTGGGAATGTCTTGTTAGGGTAATACCAACAATTCTAAGGGAGCCTAGACATGAAAATCACAAAATGAGCTATGTTCAGTGCTTCACAGTTTTGTTTTCATGAATTCAGTAATAACATTTAGCACCTCAGGAAAAATCTTCAGTGTTAGCTTGATTCTTCCTTTCGAGATAGTTTGATTGACTCAAGCCCCAATGTTGTGAAGCATTTTAGAAATGTTATGATTTTTAAATGTAGAATGCCTCATTAATTCCACTACATAAATGTTGGGGATAGTGGGCAGCTAAAAATGAAAAATAATTTTAAAGAATCATTCTTTATCACAGTCATTTCCAACAGTTTTATCAATTAGAGCCTTTTCTCCACGAACTCAATAATCTGGAGCTTTAGGAATTAATTATACTTACAAATTTTATTTATTGGGTCAGGATCTTAGAAGTTTAGAGCTGTCATATCTTTTTTTTAAATACCATTATTGCGGTATGGTTCCTGTACAGTAAACTACACATATTGCAGATGTACAATTTGATGAATCTTGATAGACACATAAATCCATGTAACAACCACCACAATCAAGATAGCTAACATTTCCATCATTCCCCAAGAGGTGCAAATTTCAAACTCCTGATTTATCCCTTCCCACCCTCCTTAACCCCTGGTAATCATAAGTTGTTCTCTATGTCTGTGAGTCCGTTTCTGTTTTGTAGGTACATTTATTTGTGTCCTTTTTTTAAGATTTTTTAAATTGATGTATAGTTGATGTACAATACTAAGTAAGTTACAGGTGTACAATATAGTGATTTGTAATTTTTAAAGGTAGTACTCCATTTATAGTTATCATAAAATATTGGCTATATCCCTTGTGTTGTACAATGTATCCTGGTACTTTATTTTATACCTAATAGTTTGTACCTCTTAATCTGCTACCTCTGTATTGCCCCTCCTCCCTTTCCTGTCCCCACTGGCAACCACTAGTTGGTTCTTCATATTCTTGTGAATGTTTCTTTTTTGTTATATTCACTAGCTTTTTTGTATAGAGCTGTCATATCTTTTATACTTTTTCTTCTTTTTTCGCCCCACCCCTGCCCAGCCCGTGGGAGTCAGGGCTTTAAAACTCCTTTAATTTTTTTGTTATTGTCATTGTTGCTGCACATTTTGGTTTTGGTTTTGGTTTTGGGGGCGGTAATTAAGTTTATTTACTTATTTATTTTAATGGAGGTGCTGGGGATTGAACCTAGGACCTCATGCATGCTAAGCACACACACTACCACTGAGCTGTACCCACCCCCCATTAGAGTAGTCACATCTTTTAAATCACAGTTCAACACTTGCACTTAATTTATAGATGTCTAAGGCTCAGAGAGGTTAGGGACTTGCTAGAGGTCACCCTGGTAGTGGCAGAGCCAGCACTATATGCCCAAGGAAAAAGGGAAGAAAACCTCACAGGACATCATATTATGTGAAGGTGAGAATTGGAAGGCTCAGCTAGGACTTAGTTTTTGGCTTCCCTAAAGTTCATTAAAGGTTTTGCTGGAGTGAAGCCTAAGCCTTAAGCCACCTCTACCACTGAAGCCTCTAGAGTGATCAAGGCATGATCTCTGAGTCTAGAAAAAAGAATAAAGGGGGGGTCTTTGCAGGCCTAAAAGGTACACCTAGAGTTGTGAAGTAATATTTGATGACTTGAAACTTAGTGAAAGAAAATACCAATGCAATACCAGCTTAGGGTTTATACCTTTTTTTAAAAATTACTCTATACAGAATCTAATCCAAATGTTTGCAAAGCCAAGACAGAAAATAGTTATATTTACATGTCCATGCTAGAAGTAATTATTTTTATATTTTTTCTGGAAAACACACGGCTGGCCAGCTTATGGTTCCAAGTCTTCAGTTTCAACTTTCAGGACCTGCCTCAAAAGATATTGATTCAGGATCATCTTTATCACTCTTCCCACGTATATTTTCCAGCCTCTCTACCTTATTTCTTCCTCTTTAATTCCTCTGCACCTTGCTCTCTGTCTTCTTAAGAATGGATTCTTATACTTACCTGGCAGGGGAGATACCATGATCACGAAGGTGGTTTTCCTAGGGAGAGGCTTATGCATTGCACTCCAGATGTGCTGACCCCTGCGATTTCCCCAAATGTGGGAAACTCAACTGCATAATTGGGGGGGGCGGCTCCGTTCACACTTTCCCTTAAAAAAAAAAAGAATGGACTCTTCCCTTGAATGACAGCCCCACTGCTACTGCTACATCATCACCTTGCTGTAGAACGTACCCCTCTGGTCTCTGGAACTTTGCCTATTCACAACTGCATGGTTCACACTCCCATGCTTCCCTCAGGGCCTCCCTTGAGGTCATTGGCCTTCCTGATGCTGAGGACTGATTGCCCAGAGGCTACCACTGTTCTTATCACCCTAGCCTGCCTACTCTGCCTGAATATCTTTAGTCTTACCTCCTTTTAGAGTATTGCCTCCTGAACCTTCCCCAGCACATAGGTTGTGTTTGTTCTAGTCTCCTCTAGTGATAACTCCGTTCTGAAGTGTTGGCCTCCTCAGCTGACACTAAAAGGGCTCCAGGCCCTGGCCAGTTAACTTTATCTTTTCTACTCTCTCTCTCACACACTAGTCTCTAGACAGGCTGAATTAGTTGTCTTCTCACAGTGACTATATAGCGTCTTGATTTCATGCTTAGTTGAATGTAAAATGCACCCTCTGCTCACCCCAACTACATTCCTTCAGTGTCTACGTCCTCACCCTAGCCTGTCTTCCCAGCACTCTCGAAAGAAGGAATTTCTTCTTTAAACTCCCATAGCACTTTTAAAAATCAAGTATGTTTCCCCATTTTCATTTCCACAAATAATACATATTTATTTTTAGAAACTTAGAACCTACAGATAGGCAAAACAAAAATTTTAATTATTGAGGGGATGGTATAGCTTAGCAGTAGAGTGTGTGTTTAGCATGTATGAGGTCATGGGTTCAATCCCCAGTACCTCCATTAAATAAATAAACACATAAATAAACCTAATTACTGTTGGGCCCACTGACGTCCTTCCAAGTCCAAGGACCCCCATTTCTGGGCTCTCAGGTGTCTGCCTGTGATCCTTCAATAGATAAAGTACTTTCTTTACTGGGCATGTTTCCTCTAATAAATTATAACAGCCCTGTATGCCTAATCTCACAATAGCCCAAGCTGGCCTGTTTCAGCCCACGTTATCTGAGTCAGACCCCACAGCCCTTCATGGACCCTAAACCTCCTACCTCACCTGCAACCAATCAGAGATTTGCGCACAAGCCGATCAGGCACCTTGTGAGTTGACCTTATAAAAGATGCCAACAACCGGCCCTCGGTGCTCACTGCTCACGCAGGCACCCCTCACCTGTGTGGCCGGCTGTTGCCTATAGCAGCATACCCTAATAAACTCCTTTTCCATTCTCATACTTTATCTCTAGTAAATTCTTTTACCAACCCACGTGTCACCATGTCACTGACCAGACACCCTGCTGTGTCCCACAAGAATTACCTCCCTCCCAAAAAAATTTTTTTTAATTTAATTATTGAAAATTCTACTCCCACAGATAACCACTATTGGCATCTTGGTGAATAACCATGTGGCTATTCTTCTTCCCATAACTCTTTATTTAGACATTTCTTATGACACATTTCCTGAAAGTTATTTACATCCATATCTTATTTTCTCAAACTGGAACATCCCCAGGGGCTGTGGCTATTGTATACATCAGTTTGCTTAGTGCCTTGAACATACCAGAAAGTCAAAACGTTTATTGAAGGAAAAAGCAAATGAAACTCAGAGACAGGTTTGCTTTTTTTTTTTCTCTTGGAAGACAATACTAATTTGGAGACATTTTCAAAATGCTGGGGAAAAAGTTAAAATTCAAGAAGACGTGAATGGGAAGGTAACACCTTTGGAGCAATATTTTGTTAATTTAGAAAGCACATGAAGAGCTCTCCTAACTCCATAATAGAGTTTATTTCTGTGAACAAGAAATACTGTTAGGACTCATGGAGCAACTGTGATGCAGTGGAATGAATGCTGAACTTGGAGCCAGATACTATAGACTCAAGAAGCAGCTCTGCTACTGACTGGCTCTGTGACTCATTTAACCTCACGATGCTTGTTTTCCTCTTATGTCAAGAAGATAGAGCACTTCATGAGATTGTTTTAAAAATTAAATAAGATAATGAAAGTAAATATACCTTATACAGTGTAAAACACTACACAAACATAAATGATTACTATTATTTCTAAGAGGTTAAGAGTGATGAATTGCACCATAAGGAAAAAGAAAGCAGAAAATTATAAGTTAGAATACTTATCCTGGAAGAAAAATGGTACCAAAGGAAGCTGGACTAGAACGGGAATAGGTCAGAGGGAGAAATGAAACATTAAAATTGGGAGAAGCAAGAATTGGAACTGACTTGAGTTGTGAAGGTTTAATGGATGGAATCATCGAAAGGAGACCAAAAGAAAGAAATTCAGTGGCTGAAGGTAGCTGACACCTGCCCTTAGTAAAAAAACTTTACACCATCAACTCCAGTAGATGAATCTCTAATCACCTCTGTTGGAGCAATTGGTCCAGCACAGTAGTTATAAACATGGGCCTTGAGTTGGCTGGACCTAAGATTCTATACCTGTCACTTTGCTGGAGACCTTGGGTAAATTACCTAATCTCTCTAAACCTGTTTCCTCCTCTGTAAAGTGGGGATAAGATAAAAACTACCATATGGTTGAGTGGGTATTAAATAAGACACAGTGTTTGGCCTTTAGTTACTGTTCAGAAATGTTATTACCACCACAAGAACTGAGAAAACGTTTTCCATTTGCAGATCACTGACTTGTTGAAAAAAGCAAATCTAGAGGGACGTAAGTTTTAAAAAAATCACATGATTTGGAGACATGAAATGCATTCTATTAATCCATGGATAACACCAAGTGTTGGTGAGGATATGGAGAGACAAGAACTTCCATACATAGCTGATGGGAGTATAGTTTGGTCCAGTCATCCTGGAAAGCAATCAGACAACATTTAATCAATGATGTGCATGCCTGTGACTCAACAATACCGCTCTTAGGCGTGGCCAAGAGAAGTTCTCATATAGATTCATCACGGCTTTTCTTTGTACCAGCTAGATGTCAGTATCAATCTAAGTGTCTGTTACTAGGAGAATGAGTAAATAAAATGTAATGAATGCAAACTGAGTTAGTCCAGATCCTAAAGCATTGGCTTGGGTTTGAAAATTGGCTAATATGACAACTCAGACCCAAATCAAGATTGTTACCACTACAGTTTATTAATAAGCAAATACACAAAGAACAAGGCCTTCCTAGTTCTCACAGAAACATGCCCAAATTCTGATGATTAGTGCAAGCCATTCAGAGGAAGAAAACTGGCCTCTAATGAGTTCAAATTGAGGTCTAAGTTTTTATAAGATTAGGTTTGGGGAGGGGCTCAGGCAGCATTCAAGGGTCTACCATCTACTATGCAATAAAATTCCTGTTGTACTATTGGACCTACAGCAGGCCTACCCCACATGCTGTGGAACACTGTATAATAATATTAAACTACTAACTAGCTGTGCATTCAGCAACATAAAGACCTGAAACAAAGGAAACAAATTGATGTATAGTACAATGGCTTTCATGTAAATTAAAAGCATACAAACCTATATTTTATGATGTTTCATACATATTTAATAACATGCATCGAACACACTAGGGAGGGAACCTGTGGAGGGGGAAGGCAATGAGAGGGGAAGAAGGGAAAAATATAAAGTGAAATAAAACGAGAGGGACATTGCACAGACTAAAGATGTCAGTGGTCAGTGTGCTGAGGATTAAGTCAGTGCTCTGCCTCCTAGATCTAGATTTTTAAACAAAAGTGAGAAAGGGACTAAAGTTGTACACGGAGACAGACAAAATTGGTATCGATACTCCTACAGATACCAGAAGAATGGCAAAGTGAGAAAGAGAACCCTAAGTATTTGGTTTGGTTTGATAATAAGAATACAGATTCTGGCTGTTTGCTTTTACACCTGATTGCCCCATAGCATAATGGTAGTTACACAAATTTTTAAATTTGTGACAGATTTATTTAATCACGTTGATTGATCGCAGATGCTCAGACTTCATGGACTTGTCTGTTCACAAAGCTTGTGCTCTGCTCTCAGCTGTCACCTGTCAGCCCTTGACCAGTCCTGTCTGGTTCCAGCTTTTCGGACTAAGCACTCAGTTATTTGCAGGCTGCCCCACCTCCTTCCTGATCCAGAAAGAGGGTGGAAGCACGGGGTATCAAAAGCTCTCATGCTACATACCAACTGAGTTAGACACTGTCAAGATAATATCTGAACTCAGCCATCTCTTTTGTCCAAAATACCCCCAGGAAGAAGCCACCCTCTCACCCATGTAGCTTGTGCATCCAACGTTCCATTACCTTTGGCCCCACCTCCAGGCTCTGGTGTTCTGACAACCAAATGGAGATCCTGCTTCTTTGCCTTGTTCCTACCAGTGCTTGTTCCCCACCCTTCACCTATATTCACACTCACTTCCTCATGCGACAGACATTTGTCAGGTCTTTGGCTGCCCAGAATTGAACTTCTTTCCTTTGACTAGGAAACTCTCCACCATAAGTTTTAGTACACAGAGCCCTCTTCCCACTGTATTCCCTTCCTCAGCACCCACCCCCATCACACTCCCAAACACAAATCTAGGCTCTGCAGATATGAGCTGGGCTCTGCCTGTCCGAAGCACCAACCCAAAACCTTGACACAGGGGCAAAGGACACAAGGAAGCAGGCACGGTGGGATGTGCACTGAGAAGGCAGTGGGGTACCGCAGCAGCACTTGGTTCCTGGGCACCTCTGGGCCCCAGAGCCAGGTGGTACCTCCGTCCCATGCTGGCCACGGTCATGCTACAGGCTGTGCAGAATCTCCTTGGTGTCCAGAGGGGACAGTGATGACCTCATCGTCTGGCCTCAACACACTGTATGTGTGGCCGTATCTGCACCCCGATTCCTTAGCCTCGTTCTCCAGGCTTCCCAGTAATTCTGAGAGCTTCCCAATAGCCTTTCAATAAATTTATTTTCTGCTTCTATTTGAAAAGTCAGTCTGAGTTGCAACTGACTCCTGAGTTTACTGACTCCTATGGTGACTCAAACTTTGCCTGACACTCCCCCCAT